GAACCCCGCCCTGGGGTTAGTGGCTGCCTGTCCCCGCCAGCCACACCAAATCCCTCCTGGGGGACAGTCCCCATGGCAGGAGGGGTTCTGGAGGGGACAGTCCCCTCCACTGAGCTGGGCTGGTGAGCAAGCACCAGGCTCCATCCCACACCCCCAGGCACAGGCTCTCTGGGGACACGGCATGGGAGGACAGGGTTGGCCTCCAGGTACTGGAGACCATGGAGATGCTTGGGGATCCCAGGAGCCTTTCCTGGGCATGGCTGGAGACTCCATCACTTGGGCTCAACGGGGCCACCCCAAGCGGCACTTGGAGCTCAGGAGCAATCCGTGACACCACTGTGATGCCACGGTCCGTGGGTAGCCCCACAGCCAATGGACATCCCCACCTCTCCCTCCGATGGACCGCGGTGCCCGTGGGGGCCAGGGTAGGGGCTGACATCCCTTACCTGCGGCGACGTCGCTGGGGATGCTGCCGGGCAGGCTGCTCTGCGCTCGCACCCTGACACCGCCAGAGACCTTTGCCTCCTGCAGTAAACACATTTGTCAATTATTAACTGCAATTAAGGGGTGAGAAATCCCTCTCTTGTCTTCCTTGTTTGTTGTGCTCATCTCTCAGCTCCCACCCAGCTCCGCCCCACGCTTGCTTCCCCACCCCAGGACCCCTTGCTGGGTGCTTCAGCCACCCCAGCCCACACCCATGGGACTCTGGCTCCCAGGAATGATGCAGAGCCTGCAGGGATGCAGCAGGATCCCGAACCACCCCAGGGGACCGGCATCCCCTGGGCTGAGGACACTGGGGTCTCACCAGGACAGGGGGTGGGCACCAACCCAGTGATGTGGGGCTACCAGGGTGGGTGCCTGGGGCCCTCTGCAGCCCCCTGTCACCCACTCCCTTCCCCGGAGGCTTGGTCCAGCCTCCCTGACCTACTTCATACCCGCTGGGGACAAGGGCGGATTGTGCCACTCCACTCAGGCAGAAGAGGGCTGGGAGGCCCGGGGGAAACACAGACATCCCTGGGCCAGTGGGAGCCCCATCTCTGCAGCCCTGTTCCCCTTTGCCCCCATTCCCCTGGGAACCTGCGGGGTTGGGGCACCCAGGCAGCTCTGGGGTCCCCCCAAATACCCAGCCTGCTCCAAGGTCCCCCCACCTCACCACATTCCTGGGTCAGGGACCCCTCAGAGAAGGGGCTACAGGGGCTAGCCTGGGACCCCCCACCCCAGCAAACCCCTCCAGGGGTGGTCCAGGATCCCCCAGGCTCCTGTGAAGGCTGCCCCGGGACACCCCCACAGACACCCCATAGGCTGCCCAGGGGATGACCCCAGGGTTGGTCAGCCCCCCAGGGTTGACCCAGGATGAACCCCCCGAGTCCCCCGGGGCTGGTGCTGGACACCCCTCTGCACACTGCCTCTGTCTGTCCCGGGACCCCCCCCAAAAGCTGGCATGGGACATCTTCCCCAGCACAGCCCCGGGCCAGCATTTTATTGCGCTGCCACTCGAAGTATTACGACCGAAGCGCCCCACCGC